GTCACATCACTCCATAAAACATTCTTCCAGAACTCCACAGGTCTATGCTAAATTAATTTTTGTGCACAAATTCACCTTTTATGCTCTTGTTGGTCAAGAGTGACAACATGAAGGCCATACTTGTCTAGTGCTCTTCTTATACTCTGCATTAACATGTTTTTTTCCTCCTTACGGGTGGCCGGGCAGGCAGGCAGGCTGATGGCTTGTGTTTTTTTGAGTCATCATATCATACTTGAGACCCAAATTCAGTGGCTCAAACTAAGCAAAAATATGCAATTTCGTGCAGATGCTGATATTTATATAGTCATGAAGTAAGAAATTCTGATAGCTTGTAACAGTATAGTAATTACTTACATAAAATGCATATAAATATCAGTTGTCTCTCTATACCTCCAAATATGTCTTATTAAGATGATATTTAAATACTTAGTTTTATGATCAAAGAATTTTTCAAAACATATAATGCATTGCAATACAATAATGATTTCAGAGATGAACATATAATCGTTCCTCAAAAACCTGATGATCCTATTTGAAACTCACATTTTAACATGATTCTTCTAATGATAATCAAGCAAACCTAAGTTGCTTCAGTCCTATAAGTGCTCATCTTGAAATATTACTAACAATATGTTATTTTTATGTTTACTTTTAAAAAGTTTTCAAAGCAAAAAGATGTGAATCAACACCTGAAGTTGGACATTTTTACAATTATACTAAAAGGAAATATACTTACTACTTACTTTTGATCATTTAGATACCTTGCAAATATGATACAATAGGCTGTTTGGGGTTAAAGGTTAAGTGGGTGTGTTATGCAAAACTGGACTGGATTCTGCACTCATACCTTTTTCCAAGAGCAGTCGTCACAGTCGGGGTCAAGGGTCACTTCATCTGGCTTAAATTCTTTTATGACCTCTAGGTTTTCATCAAACAGAGACACAGTGAGCTTATAAATACACCCACAGTCTGTTCGGCTACAGAACCTACATTCAAAAGAAATGACTGATTGGACAACATGACAAAACAAAACTTGTGCCATTAAGTCCATATCATCAAGGCTTACCAGTCCTCCACATTGACCGCTGGCTGTGCAATATCTAAATTTTCAGGGTCGTAACCCTCTGCCAGCAGGTCAATCACTTGTCTTTTTATGCACGGCCTGGAATAGATCAGAAATAGACACTGAAACACACAGATATACATATGATGAATTAAGACATGTTGAAACACAAGCAGGGAGTGTGAAAGACAGAGACAAGGACCCTTTTTCACCCAAGTTCTTTCAAAGAAAAAACAGCCTTATTTTCCCCACCCTCATCTGTTCGGGCTACTATTCATTCCCTTACTCGAAAGAGGTGCAGAAGTATTTAGTGAATGATTCGTCATTGAAAGCGTGTCCACAGTCCCCCGGCATGTCCTCTGTCTGCCATTGATCGCCTCCATTCTCTGTAAGCTCCCAATGTTCCAGATCCTCTGGTGAAGATACAAGTTTTTCAGATATTAATGTGGCATATAAAGTGCATTTTACTGCTCTGATCGTTTTATTTAACAAAAGGAGAGCTGATGTGATGGCAAATTAGTTCATCTTTAACTATTACTTCATCTAAATAGCATTTTTTTTGTATTATTTTGTGTTATGAATGCAGTTGACTTTACATATCGATTAACTATGGAATTATTTTACTTTCAAAAATGCATTTAGCAGATGCTTATTATCTAAAGAGACTTTTAATATAAAAGCATGAGCAGTTTGTTACAGAACCATTCATGTTTGCGGTACACAGTGCCACATTTATTAGAAAATTAGGTTAGGGATTAGAGAGCTAGATTAGTTATTTTCCCTAAATCTAAAACCTAAAATCATGATGCTGGAAAAAAAAAAA